TTTTTCTCAAAAATGGAGGAAGTTTGAGCACAGTGCTCTAGCCTAGCAGCTAAATCTTTTCCTTGCATCCTACAGGATCCTATGGGAGCATTGATTTGTATCCTAGCTGCTCCATTTCCCATCCAGCTCCCTGCTTATGGCCTGGGGAAACAGCAGAGGACAACCCAGGGCCTTGGGACTCCTGCACCCACGTGGGAGACCTGGAGGAAGTTCCTGGCTCCTGGCTTCAGATCGGTTTATCTCTGGCCATTGCAGCCATTTTGGGAGTGAAGTAGTGGACAGATCCTTCGCTCTGTATTTCCTTCACTCTGTAAATCTGCCTTCCCAGTATTAATTGATTAATTATTATTGTTTTAAATGGGGGAAGTTTTGAGCTTTTATTTGTTGAATATTTTTTCTATGAATTTATTCTCCTTCAGAGGTTCCCCAGATTTGTGGGTTGTTTCACTTAATAGTGACCCAACAATCTCAGAGGTGTTTCCTATTTTTGTTGCACTGGGCAACAAGGTTTGGTCTGGTGTATTTTGTAAGATTTGGGTAGATGTGCATCAGATTATTAGCTTTCAGCTGTTGGGGCAGGGCGTGGGTCTTGGGAGTGTCTCTGGCAGGCAGTGTTTGTCATGAGCAGATTTGAAAGCTGCCTACAGGGTACAGTTATTAGAATATGGTGGCAGTACTGGTAAGTTTGTGTGGATTCTGTGGGCTATGGGAGTTAGGCTGAGGTTGAATGAGACTTGCTAGCAGTCCAGGAATTGTTAGATGGCCGAGTCTAAGTTGTTGTCGCCAACATGATAAAGAATTGGAGGATGAGACGTAAGTAAACTTAGGAGAGGGATATGATTTATTTTAACAAAGTGGAAATATTCATGTGAAGGCTGTGCGGACTAGCTGACCATGAGCTACATCTAAAATCACATCACCTTGCATGTGATTGGTTTTAAGCTTTTGGACGTTATGGCATCATTCCATACATGCACCAGTTTGAATCTTGGCTGCACCATTTCCTGTTCAACTTCCTGCTGATATGCCTAGGAAGCAGCAGGTAATGGCCAAGTACTAGAGCCCCTGCCACTCACATGGAAGACCTAGATGGAATTCAGGCTCCTGACTTGGACCTGGCTCAGCCCTGGCTGTTGTGGCCATTTGGGGTGTGAGTCAGTGAATGAAGATAACTCCTACCCCTCCCCTTCTCCCTCTTCTCACCTTCCTTTGGCTAGCTCTCTGTCTCTGTGAGATAACTGTCTTTCAAAATAAAAAAAAATTTGGAGAAAATATAAATTTTGGTATAAAAATATTTGATATCCATGTGTCGTTTTGCCATAATATGCATTTCCCACTCACTCTTTAAACTGCCCTCATGTTTCATGTTCTTTAATTCCTGCTGCACTCCTGAGAAAAAGATGACCTTGTTGTATATCTGATACAAGAAATACAGAGACTAGGTAACTGTATGTTCACACTGCTGGAAAATGGTAGGCTAAGAATTTTTTTTTTTTATTTTTTTTTTATTTATTTTTTTTTTTAAAGATTTATTTTTATTATTTTTTCATTGGAAAGGCGGATATACAGAGAGGAGAGACAGAGAGGAAGATCTTCCGTCCGATGATTCACTCCCCAAGTGAGCGCAACGGGCCGATACTATGCCGATCCGAAGCCAGGAGCCTCTTCCGGGTCTCCCACGCGGGTGCAGGTTCCCAAAGCTTTGGGCCGTCCTCGACTGCTTTCCCAGGCCACAGGCAGGGAGCTGGAAGGGAAGCTGGGCTGCCGGGATTAGAACCGGCGCCCATATGGGATCCCGGGCGTGCTAGGTGAGGACCTTAACCACTTGCGCCACCGCGCCGGGCCCGGCTAAGAATTTTTAAATTAAGTTTTTCTGCCAATTTTCTTCTCCAGTATTCGGCTGCCTTGCCAGTTTTCCTCCTTGCCTGCAGGTTTTTTCTTTGTTTTGTTTAATTCGAACCTTCTGTCTGTATTGTGTTGTTGTGTTTGGAAAGCTTGTCATGGAATAGCAATATTGGTTTAGATTTAATCTTGCCCTTACCCAACATGATGAAAGGTTATACTTGTGTTCAAAACTACTGTATAGATATTCCTTAAAGGATGTAGTATAGGACCGGAACCGTGGAATCATAGATTAAGCCTCTGCCTGTCCTTTTTGCCCATAAGGACGCCAGTTCATGTCCTAGCTGCTCCACTCTGATCCAGCTTCCCACTTATGGCCTGGAAAGGCAGTGGAGGATGGCTGAACTGAGGCCCTGGGCTTCTGGAACCCTGCACCCACGTGGGAGGTCCAGAAGATGCTTCTGGCCCTCAGCTCTGGCCAATTGCAGTTTTGTGGGGAGTGAACCAGCAGACAGGCTTTCTCTGTTTCTCCTCCTCTCTGTAAATCTGGCTTTTCAAATGAAAATGAATACATTGGTAACCAAGAAAAAAAATCTTTGAAATAAAATGTAATAGAGTTTAAGGAGTTGATAGACTATACTTTTGATTAGTTGGATGCCTTATAGTTGCCAGTAGTTAAGATATAAATTATATATATAGATGATAGCAGCTGATGATTCTTCACAAATTATATGTTACTGTTACAAAAAGAGTTAAATGGGCCTGTGTTGATGAATATAAACATTGAGGATGAGGAATCCTTTTGAAATTTTTTCTGTGAATGGTAATATTCATCAGTATAACGAAACTGTGGAGCTACCTTGACTATGAAGTATCAGCTTATATGGACTTCTGCAGTGATAGGCATTTAAGTTCCTAATAGGCATTTAAAGTTAAAAAAAAAAAGGGGGGGGGTTACTGTGTAAGTATCTCAGAAGGGTACACAATAATTTAATAACTTTTTAAATTAAATAACTTGTTAAAGTAAAAGGTGAGCCTACATTTAGAAATCTGGGCATTCAGGAATGTGGACCTTCAGTATGAGGATGCTTTGGTTTTTTTATGCTCAAATTCACTAAGATTGTAATTTCTACCAGGGAGATAGTTTATGCTCCACAAATACCTCTTATTAACTCATGAATAAGGGACTGCCATGGAGACAACTCGCACAAAGGAAGAGTATGGAAGACATGAAGAGGAAATACATTGGTTCTCTGAAACTTTGCCCTGTAATTGTACTATGCTCTTACTTTTGCGTTATTAAATTGTTGAGCAGATTTGAAATGCGGAATAACTGTACTGATAGAAAGCCATCTTCAGCTTTAAAAACTCACTGCAAAGGATCTTCATATATTTTCTAAGCTTTAGTTTATTAGTACATGAAATTAAAACTTAATTACTCTCTAAGTTACTCCTCATGTATGTCAAGTTTTAATGACAGGTGTTTGGGAGCCTGTATTCAGCATTTAGAATCCAATACTGTCTGAGTTTTCCCATCAGAGATTGGGGTATATTTAGCATTCAGAATATTGGAAGTCTGAACATTTGAGTTAAGTAGTCCAATGTTTAGTTTCCTGAGACAACATCTCTGTGCAAATTGCTGCAGAGTTTAGGCAATCTGCATTTATTACTGGAAAATAAAAACTTGGAGATATAGATTTCCAACTGACATTTGACACTGTTGGTTGATTCATCTCACAAGTTATTCTGACAGTAGAAGAGATTTTTGTGATCTTATTAGCCAATTAGCATAGCTATATAATATTACAGTGCAGTTAAGTGGATTAAAAAATATTCTGTTGCATTTTAATATGGATTTTCTTATACGTTTTCAAAATTATGAAGCGAAGCTAGTATTTTTAAGGTTCCGCTGTGCTAGTATGTGTGTAAGTCCAAACACCACACAATTACACATCTTACTATATAATATCATTCAGCAACAATTTAATGGCCTTAGTTTTAGACCCTTTGTTGGAGTAAAATAGCACACATTAACTTCGCCGCTATAACTTCCTTGTGAGCCATTTGTTGTATTGATCCCTTTGTTATGCCTCTATAGCTGAGCCGTCCACTGTGGTGGCCATAAACCTAGTGTGGCAGTTGAGTAATAATCTGGGAAAGCTCAGTTGGATTTTGTAGATTTTAGAAACAATGTAAGATATCTCACTAATAGTTGGTATAGTAGTTACATCTTAGAATAAAATTTACTTTTATTGGGTTCAATAAAATATTACTAGATTTCATTTCTAACTTTTTAAACATAGCCAGCAGTGAATTTAAATTACACATGTGGCTCACACTTTCTGTTTGTATTCTTATTATACAACACTATTCTAGAGGCTGTCGTGTTTCATACAAGGAAATCAGATTTAGAAAGATACTCTTTTTTTTTATTTCTTTGCAATCCTGTGTTCAGAGTCTGGAAGGTATTATAAAGCTATTCACGGGTCCCAGCAGTGAAATAATGCCTGTTCCATGCCATGTGGTTATGCACATAAGGGAATGAGCGTGTGTTTGACCATTGTCTGACACTAGTAGTAAGGTTGAAGTATACTAGTATGTTCTAGAAAATGGGAGAAAAAGAAATATAAATAAAGTAAAAAAAGGAAAACATTCATCTGGGTTATTAAAAATGCCATTGAAAAGAACTTAGTACTACTAATAAAATTAAGCCTAATAGTATTCAGTTTTGTTTGATAATAGATAACTTTGAAAGCCACTGATATATTCTTTCATTTCTAAACTGAGGAACAAACTTATGCAGTAGAATATCACTTAGTTCCTTTTTCTGTTACTCAAAGCTGTCATTTGTGGAAGAAGGAGTAAATTTTTACAACATAAACTTCTAGGACACTGAAAAGTTATTTAAATCCTGTATGATGTTAATGAAAGTAATGTTTTTTTTTGTCTTAAAAAAAGTGATTGTCTCTTCTCCCCATCCCACTCCCATTTCCATGTTTGTTTTATTTTATTTTGTTTATCCAAAAAAAAATTTGATGCCCTGTTTAAGTTTTTTTTCTACTTATTTAATAAAGAGTAGTACTGTTATGTTATGTATTTGAAGTTATAAGGTACGTTTATTTTTTCTTTTATTTGTAATTTAACTCTTTGTTTTACAGATGAGGGCAGAAGTGCAGTTGACCAAGCAGGTGGTGCACAGATTGTAGTTGACCATTTAAGGTCACTGTGCAGTATAACAGATCCCGCCAATGAGAAGCTCTTGACTGTCTTTTGTGGCATGCTGATGAACTATAGCAATGAGAATGGTAAACAAAACTGAAAACTTGCTTTATCTCTGGGGGAAAAATTAAAAATCATCTCTAGTGTAAAACAAAAATACTTGAAAAACGATAAAGAGTATCCTGATAAAATCAATAACTAGCTAACATTAAGTTTTAGGAAAATACAGAATGGTCTAATTTAGTAAATGGGATTAGTTTTTTAAAGGGTCACCCATATTAATCAGTTCCAAAACAAAACAACAAAATCTGTGGTATAGTTTAAGCTTTTTTGCTCTGAACACTCCTTGAGTAAAGAGTAGTAACATCAATTGCATTGTGTTTATTAATTTATATTAATATCTGAAGTAGCTTTAAAGCATTTATGCTGTCTATATAAATAAAATTATTTTATCTAGATGCTAGATTTACTTGGAAAATTTTTTGACAAACCGCAATAATGTCTGGTTTTAGGAAAGTGGCATTCAGAGCCATTTCAGACAGCATAACAGACATGTAATGAAGTCTCTCAAAGGGCAGATTCTTATTTCTGTCAGACATGCTTAGAATCTAGCAACAATTTTCAGATAGCCTAGAGGGTTAACTAAATGTACAGAAAAAAATAGTGTTATTAAGGCTTCACTGTACTTTGGTGTCATGAAATATCATTTTGTTATTTTATATGAATTACTGTGTGTATCAAACACTCAGATTCTGAGATGTTCTTGGCATTTAATATATAAGGTCTTTGTGTGGTTTGCTTTGCAGAGGTTTTTCAAGTTGTCTTTGTACAAAGAGATTTGCATATTGAACATGAATGGTATTCTTTAATTTTATGTGGTCTAGAAACACATGGTTTTTCAGCATCTTTTTTGATTGTTTCTCATTTTTATGGTTGTGGGTCCAAAGAATAATTCTTAGCTCTTTTTTAAAAAGGTAAGCCCTGACAAGCCCATCTTTGGTCCTTGGTGTTAGAAGAATGATGGGTTCTTGAGTTTGACAAATCCCATGTCCTATAGAAAGGCGAGAGCTTCTACTCCTTTCTAGGCAGTTGTGTTTAAATGTCTGCTTGGCCAAATTTTATCTAATCTTTTTATTTGAGGGAAAAGAGAGGTAGTAAAAATGTTTCTTTTCATCATGACATCTGATTTGTAAATGTTGGATTACATTTGCTTTGTTATCACTATTAACAGGAAGTATGTTCAGGTCCCGTTCTGGCTGATGGATGTGTCTCGCAATTAAAATTACCTATAATTATATTATCTATAATATATATTGTATAGGTATATATATATAAATGTAGTATATAGTTTTTGTTAATCAGATGACTAACTTATTAAATTTGAGCAAGTAACAAGCTGTAGTCTTTATATAATCATTTTCTTCTGTATCTCCCACCCCTTGGTAGAATTAGTTTTAAAAAGATACTGTCTTGATTATGGACAGGAGAGCAAAAAGACAGTCTGGGCAATCTACAAAATAGAGTAATTTCCTAAATAATTGAAATTCATCTTAAGCTTCCACATTGCATTAAGAAATAATTGATCATTTGTCCATGTTTCTTCCACTCTCTCTAACTTTATTTGGGTTTAGGCATCTGGGAAAGTAGGTAAGTGTTAAATAGGAGAGTGTTTCAGAAAGCCAAATGAAAGGAACTCATCATGAAGTTAAAAAAGCAATTCTGGATTTAATTAAATTACTCCTGTTATTTGAAGAAGCTGTGTTTACAACTCTAAAAAAGTTTATCGATTGATCCTCAAGAAAGCGTTACTAATTCTAATCCAAAGCAGACATAGAAGCTATTTAACAGCCTAGAACTGTACTGAGAAAATAATGATTAACACCATACAGAGTGCATAGGCTAAATGAATGTTTCTTTTTTAAGAGTACGCCTTTCCCTAGTGCTCAGGTATTCCTAGGAAATAGCCTAGATATTTTGGAGAATATTAACTTTTTTTCCCAAATATATTTGGATAAAGGGTTTTGTTCTATTATTCCAAAAACTGTTACTTGAATGTAGCTTTTAAAATTGATACTTAAAATACAAAAATTCTTTAATAATTTCAAGGAACAAACGCCAAACTATTGTCATCTCTTTTGCTGTGTTTTCCTCTTATATTATCATAAGCATGAAAGTTTGTGAAGTGATCGTTTTTTCTTCTTAATGGTCTTTAACTTAAGTTTTTGGTTCTCTTTAGAATCCTTATTCTTTTCTTTAGAACTTGTGTTAAATGATTTAAACGTTAGATCTTTTTTTTTTAAACTAACTTTAGATTACTTAGTATTGATTCTGTCCAGCTAGATGTGTTCCTGAGACAAAAATTTAGAGCTTTTTAAAACTCAGGAAGTGCTTTTTTTGTTAGTACTAACATGCATAATTTCTTTTTATATGTGTTTATATTGAATTTAAATGATAAGCATCTGTTAATTTGTGAGTAGACCATAAAATTGAGAAAATTCTGCTCCAGCTGGGAACTTTGGAGTGAATAATCAAACATTACCAATAATTAAGGATTTGTTGTTTAGTATTATATGTTAAAAAATCTTAAGTACGTTGATAAGTAAAAAACAACATAAGAAACACAAGAAAATTAGTCAACATTGTTTCCCCAAAAACCATGTTTTCACTAGATTGAGACTTAGAACATCTCAATATGAACGCTTTCTGTCCAAATACTTACTCAATAAAGATGTTTTCTTGCTATTTGATAAAGCTATATACACACATAACACATATATATGCATGTATTTATAAACTGAATTATATAAACTGAAAATTGCACTTAAGTTTTTAAAAATATTAATATAGTTTGATTTCTGTGCTCAGGAAGCAATTAAAATTTGTATATTCAGAAAAGTGTGGAATATCTGAATAAAAGTTAGAATGCCTTAGCCAGAGAAGTTATGTCAATAATAGCATGTAAATGACATTTTAAAAGAAGGCAAAAATAAAAAACCATTTCATATTTGTCCATTCTGGAAAAGGATTTCTGTGTCATGCAGCAAAAAACACCTTGTAATTCTGTGATTCTCCAAAATAACCTGAATGTTTGGCTATTTTGACTATAAAAAAGCATGCTAATAACTTGGCATTCAATTTGAGGGAACATGCTGAATATGCTGGTTTTTTTCTTTGATTAAAACTAGAAAATGTGGTTTTTTCAGCAAAGAATTCAGACGTTTAAGTATAAATATTTCTACAAGAGTACTTTATAATTTCATGATAAAGGTGGAAACAAGGCATAAAATAAGTTTATTCTGGCATAAACATTTAAATCTGTGCATTTTTTTAATGTGCATTTTCAATGAATTCTGTGAAGACCCTTTATGTATCTAATCAGTTTCTTAAATACTTTTTTCTGACTTTGGCTGTTTAGTGCCAAAACATCACCTTAAAGATTAAACATTTTCTTCAGTTGTATTCTCAAGTGAAGATGCTCCTAGACTTGAAAATGTGGTTAGACCCTGAAAACCCCATCATAACTTTTAATCTCATGATTCCAAAATGCATTTGACTTAATCTACCAAACGTTACAGTTCACGTCATGTGCTAGTTGCTTGCCCTGTGATGAAGTGACTAACTCTAGATTACAACTCACTGATGTTACATAGCATTGTAGGAGTTTTGTGCCACGTATTGCCAGCGTGGAAAAAGATCAAAATTTTAGGCAAGTTTCTGTTAGGTCACAGTCGATATTATTTTAGCATATAACAGTTTTGAAAGTATGTATTGACTTCTCTTGAGATGTATGTAGTACAGTCTAAATTAGTTAGCAAAATTAATGCTTGGAAGAGAAGTATGGTTTTGGAATTCATTTTCTTCACTACCTCAGGTAGAAGCCTTACAAACTACTTCATGTTAGTCTATAGTCCCTATCCACGTACATAGCAGTGAGGAGAAAGAGACATTGGAAAAATCGTGATAATAACAAGTACCAGATCTACATTTAAAACTTTCCCAGAGGTGAACTGTAGCTTTGATAAGTCTGCCTGCATACATGCAAAGGTTGATTGCTGGTTTGAATAGATACAAACTAGTAATATTAAAGCAGTTCACTGCACACCAGCAGAACAACTTGTTGAGGAATCTCAGGTGGTCACCCTTGCTATATAGAACTACCCCCAATCAAGAATTCTCTAATTCTGTAGTTAGTGTTATTTTTCATTCTATGCAATTGTGCTGGAGTCTCAAAATGGAGGGAGATCTCTGTGGTAGTTCTAATAACTGAAGTTACTTGCTTTGTTTGTAATGCATACAGCAAGAGAAAAAGTAGAAGGAATAAACTTGCTATCAGTAAAAAGAAAAGTAGTTCCTTCTAAAATTAATATGTACAGTCTGTGACTTCTAATCTATATTTGTATATGTGCTCCTATGGCTTCTATAAATAGAGCTGATTTTACTTTAACTCCCTGTTATCAAAAGACTTGGCTGGGGTGGGAGAGTTGTGTGGTTCCTTATATCTTAAATACATTTGTGGTAATTTTTATATTTTTTGCTATGTATAGTTATAACTAAACCATGGTTGAAATGAACATGTCTGTGTTATTTAGGAAATGCAACCTGTGGTATGTGTTGCAAAAACATAACACTTGATTTTTATATTGAACCCAGTACTATAAAGTATTTTCTGATCTCTTATTTGAAGATCACTTGATTTTAGTCAGTGCTTTCATTTCAACCTGTAGACACAATTTCTTTTTTGAATGTGGGTGGGTGGGTGGGAGATTTACTCTTTTTCAAATAATTGCTTTTATTTCTTATTTCATTTTGATAATCTTTACATAGTTGATTAGGGCACAAAGGGTCAAGGGCTGCAGGAAAGTGGGTAAGACCATTGTTTCCACACTATTATTATTATTCTAGATCTGGGGTAAGGGGAGAATAAAGGGAGAAGTTTTTAGTTTTAGAAGATGAACATATTTCATATGTACAGGTTTAAGAGCATAGTAATTATCTTACCCTATCCTCATTCCCACCCATGCTCCCATCCTTCCTTCTTTTCTTATTTCTTGTCTTTTAATATTTACACTGACATGCTTTCATTCTT